TTGCTCTAAAGTACTATTCAAAACGGATCCTGATTGGATCTTACGTCATAAAAGCGGGTAATTCTAAAAATTGATATGACCAATTCGGAGAGAGCCACTAATTGGTTCTTACGCCTCCGGACTTGATGACGTCACTATAACGAGTGTGACGTCATTCTGCGGGTTGATCCACGATCCACCCTGATCCACCCGTCGTAGAACCGCTATTCTCTATACTACTGATAGGCAACCGTTTCCGAAAGAATAGAAGACAAAATATTTAATTGGTTGCCATGTTGGTCCATATCATAAAGGATTCTATACAGAAAATGAACGTATTCCTTTGACAATTTCAACCAAGATGGGAGCTATGAGAATCATACAGTAATAGACGAGCAACTCAGTCGCTGTTTACCAAACATGTGGAGGAAATATGAAAAACAACAATAAATCACTAGAGCATAAGAAAGAACATTCAAATCATTTCATTTATGATCAGTTGTGTAATAAAACTGTTTCATTGTGTTATAGTCGTTCAGTCATTCCAAATATTTAACAATCCGGACATTTTTTACAGTATGGCGACCATCTTGAAATATGGGATGGCGAGGAGGCAAACACGTAGAAAATTTGATAGCATAGAGTGGCAGGATTAAGTTTTCAAAATAATTTGAAGTCTTGGTGTTTCACATATTGTTCCAATTTACTATATTTCCAGAAAGGTAGATTGAATAAACTGATTGATTGATTCTAACTGATTGATTGATTCAATTGCTTTTTAAATTCTTTTTGAAAAGCATGAAGTAATAAAAGACACTCTGGCAGCTGTATCATTCCACTTAGAAGCGCCGTAAGCACTCAAGAAGTGTTGAGAGGCACTCCCCTACGGCTAGTGTTTCTCCTTGCACTTCTTTCGTGTAACGTCACTTCCTGCATGCTTCATTGCTGAACGGAGCACCGAAAACCTGTTTTATTTGTTAAATAGAGCAGCAAAAGCAAATTATAGAAAATATATAGAAGCACTCAATAGCCAGATATCTTATTTATCATCTTTTGTACGATAACAGCAAAACGGCAACAACAAAACAAAAACGAACAAAAAACTCGTACAGAAAAGCATTTCTTTCTATGGCGACCGACACGTGTCGGTTTGCAAGCCAAGATTTATCCCCATCACATCTCTTTTAAGTGTACCAAACAGCCACGATATCACAGACCTGGCCATTTTAATTCTAGGACAATGTAGAAAGAAAGAAACAAAGAAACAAAGAAACAAACAAAGATTGATTGATTGATTGATTGATTGATTGATTGATAGATTGATTGACTGATTCACTTTTATTTAAATACGGTAATTTCATAAGTTTTACAACTTTACGTGAAAACCGTATATAAACAGAAGCAAAACTACTGCTCATGCTACTAACTTCATCAATAATAGTCTCATAACAAATATAAATTAAAACTAAAAAATCTGATGATGATCTGATAAACAGTTTATGAAGAGTCAAACGACAAGCCGATAGGTTCTTTTTAAATACAGTTTTAGAGGTTGAAGATCCACAGGCAGCCCAAACAAGKTTCCTGTGTATGGTTTATAAGGGAATGTATGGGAGTTATGATAAAGTTACGAAAATAAAATGTTTCACTCAACAATTTGCTTCAAAACTTGTTGCAGTCGTTGCTTTTACTTTGTTCAGTCTTCTGGCGACGTTTCAGCGCGATTTGAGGCCATTTAGTGGGTTTGCCTGCCTGTGGAAGATCATGAGTCTAGAGGTAGGGAATTCCAATTTTTTGCCCCTCTATAACAAAAAAAAAAAATCCTACAATATTCAGTCTTTGGGACTTTAATGAAATCTAATTTTAGATAATTATCCCTGATAAGAGATTGGTAAGGATTATTTTCCGAAGCAATAACGAAAAGGTCGCGAAGATATTTGGGAGCTTTATGATTAATTACATCGAACATTAATAGGCTGATAGGCGTTTTTCTCTCCTCAAGGTTAAGTTGTCCCATTCTAATCGTTTTAAAATTTTCGACGACCTAATATTATATCTCTACTACGGTTTACAAGTCCTTTGTTTATATTGCCCCATACAGCATCACAATAGTCAAAAATAGGCTGTATCAGGCAGTTATAAACTATTTTCGGAACCTCTGGTGACACAAAGTCACGGGCTTGTTTAAGACCGTAGATGGAACGATTTATGAACGAAAGAAAGAAAGAAAGTAAGAAAGAAAGAAAGAAAGAAAGAAAGAAANAAGAAAGAAAGAAAGAAAGAAAGAAAGAAAGAAAGAAAGAAAGAAAGAAAGGAAAATATTTAGTGAGAACAGAAACTCCAAAAACTATTGAAATATATATGATAAGTCATTGACCAGCCCAGCATGTTAACTTCAGAGACCCGTTGATAGGTATTATCTATCAAAACAATTAATTAGGCAAGCTACATAGCAAACTGAGGATTATAGTTATTTTAAAACAATTTGTCAATGATTCAATAGATATATTTGAAAAAAAATTCTAGTTTCATGAGTTCAGGTACCAAGAGGGAAATGATAGAATTCAAAGGTTAGAGCGATGGAAAGTTTATGAACGATATTTCGATGAATCATGCATATGAAAGCCGAGGTCGAAATGGGTCAGACCATTGCATGCTTTAGGGCTATGTTTTATGCTATCTGTTTTCTCTTTATTTAAGTGTGACAGCTAGCTTTCAGTCAGTCCTTAAAAAGAAGGGTCTTTTGTCTGGCGCCAATGAACGTAGTAAAACTAGTCTGTTCTTTTGATGGTAGCTTTGTTCATTGAAGTTTGGATTAAAACAAAGGACTTTGGACCAGGCTAAGTAAACGCTGAAAGAAAATTGAATTAAACCAACCAAACTGAAGGCAAAAAGGCAGAGAAAAACGCCAAATTGTCAACGAAGAAAAAGAACCACGCACAAAAATAAGACCAAGAATCCAAGGTAAGAGATTAAGCCAAAAAGCCACTTTGTATATAATTCGCTGGGGTGGATGATCATGATCCACGTTTTTCGAATCGATACAAATCATTTTTTTTTTTTCTTGTAAAAACTAAAGCGTTCGCAAAAATAGAAACATATTTTGTTTCTTTGTTCAACACGGTTCAGTAAACTCCGAGATTATTATTACTAAACCCATTGTCATATAAAAGACGTTCCTTGTCTTTACAAATTAGCAATCGTGTTTTTAAATGACTTTCTACTTCTACATCACCTCTACGGATATCATTGAAATATTATCGAGGCAAAATACGATAGAATTCCTCGCGCGGTGCTCTCCAGTTGAAAAGATGCCAGAAAAGGTTTATGTTGCTGTTGATGCTTGAATTTGAGAAGAACATAGCGAAAAACTTGTTTCTGAATTTAACAATATTTCTTCGAGCAATTAATCAAATTTATAGCTTTATTTCAAAAATACATTAATTTTTTCTTAAAATAGAAAGACACAACGTTTATATATGCACTGACTAGGAGAAGATAATTAGGTAAGGTAATAAATTAATATCAGATTGATGTTCGACGAAGGTGATTTCTAAGATTTCTTATATACTTTTATTTCATGTTCAAAGTTTTTATCTTTAAATCCCCGATGTCAAGATGGGCCAGCATGAAAAATACTGAATATTCATATCATATGGTCAGTGACTAGTGCGTTTTTAAGTCATAGTTTTTGATTGCGTTTCAATGGGTTGACGACAAGATTCTGAATTTTCACACTGACGAAGGTTTCCACACGTTATAATTCATGAAACTCCAAGACATTGACCGTTTATGGTCTAGCGATTCATTTTCATACATTTAAAGTCTAAGAAATAAAAGCCTTATTAATCCCAGTTATTTTTGGCTTTTTTAAGCCTGAAATTCCACTCAATATCATATTCATTGACAGCTACTTGTTTTGCGTGATATTGAGGATTATAGTCGATGTACAGCAATGTCAAATGTCGTAAAGACGTCTTTTATGATTTGTATATCAGTAGAACACTGTGTATATCACTTACAGTTTTACTTAAAACAACAGTGTTGTCCTAGATCTCGTTTTCGCGTGATTGGAATTAATATTTGGACAGCATTTTGGAGATAGAAATCTTTAGATATTTTGTCAACAGCCTCGCCTCGTACGACTCAAATGAGTTTATCATATTAGTTGAAAGCATCGGCACAAAACATCTATAATTACCAGACTTGATGGATGCATTTATAACAATGTTTATTACTTCGTATTACTTTTAAATATACCTCTTTTCCCACGTTTTAACTTTGGAAAACAAGAAGATCAAACTGGGTTCTACTGAGTCAGTTTTTGCGTATATTCATTAACTGGTATAAATAATCATCGTTATCTCACGGACCAATCAATTCAAACCCGCTACCTCAATGTACCACAAACAACGTGATCTTTCAACGACGTTCTTAGCTGCAACGAGCCTATATCGCTTCAAAAGCGATGATGTTTCGGCCCGTTAGGTATTTGTGTGGCATTACTGAAAAGAATTTTGGTCTTGCTGTGGTAATGATTGGGCCTAAATGCCAGACCAGAGCGATGGTTTTTGGTTAGGACTAAAGAACAAGTCCACAGAAGCCAGCTCCTAATGAACGCCTGCAATTGAAGCTTTATTTCAGATCT